CAAAGTCGACCCACAGGCAGCACCAGCAGCCAAGCCAGATGATCAGCGTGTCCCAGAGCAGCCTGATGACCCGCCGGCAGCACCCGTCCAGTCTTCATCAACTGCTGAGACGGTGGCGGTGGATGATGATGATGATGAAGACAGCAAAAGGCACCCAGGGGAGGAGGAGCATGTACAACACAAGGAGCCAGCAGTCAAGGAGAAAGGAAAGAAGGAGAAGAAGGAGAAAGATAAGAAGACAAATAAAGACAAAAAGGCAGACAAGAAAGAGAAAGAGAAAGCAAAGGATAACCACGAAGGAAAAGACAAGAAGACTAAGTCCAAGACGGCAGAGAAAGAGGCTGAGGAGCCCAAGCAGCAACGTGGCAAGAGAAAAGATGACACATCGCAGGCTGTCATTCCTTCCAAGAAGGGCAAGGGCAAGGGCTCCCAGGGGCAAGGAAAGCGTGGCAAGGCTGAAGGTGATGATGACAAAGAGGCACCATCAGCCAAGCGCAGGCCATCTTGCAAGGTTTCTTGGCTGACAAAAGCACAGACCCACTGACTGGGTTACTTTCAGGGAGTGACAGTCACTTGGAAAAATAGAGTCTCACACACACTTGGTACAACTGTGCCACACCTTGTGCTATACACCCTCCACCCAGCCCTCATTTACACCACTATCACCGTCACCGTAACCACTGTGTCCCGACAATCGACAATATGGTTATATAGCTTCTGTACTTTCCTACAACAAGAATACAGAGTTTTTGTTCCCTCAGGCCCTCAGGACTAGTGCTACCATGTTGTATGGCCTCAGGAAAACAATGACCGACCTGTGCAATTCCAAGCGCATATCTCGCACACTGGCCCTCTTGCTCAGTCCTTCCGTGCTGCCAAGAAGTGAGCATGGCTTCTGAGTCCGGCTGAGCTTTTGATCTTCCATGTGTCCAGCATGGTTTGGGGTGGACTGACATTGGCAAACAAGCGCCTTTGTCACTGTCATGTGTTTTGACACAAATGTTTGATGTAAATGTGCAAGTGGATCGACTGCAGTTGAAATGCTGCGGATTGACTCGACCCACCTTTTCTTTGGGGTGAATCACCACAAACATATGCTGTATGTACTGTCTCCCTTTGTTCTTCCTAGACTAAAGAAGTCTAACATTCTAGCAAAACATGTTCATGTACTCAATGCACCCCCGCAAAAAGCTACAGCAGGCATTGTGGTGTACTTGTTGCTGGAAATTATATTTCCATGGGGATTCATTGCGTGGCCTTTGGGCTGTGTTCTTCAATCCTGGTCTCTAAAGGCCAAATGCGACACGACTGGTGCACCCAGCCCTGCTGAAGGAAAAACACATGCCGGGGCGAGATCGTGCAGTTTCAGTGGTTTCAGCTTTGCTATGCCAAACTCTGTGAGTGACCCAACAAATACTGATTTACCTCGCAGTACACATAAAATACTTAATTTCCCAAACCTGGATGAACTCACAACCTAAAAACCTATAATTGTGAAATTTGGCAGTCCTATGCTGGAATTTTGTGGGCTGATCGGGTGATGTTGTATTTTTCTCAACTATAAGCGAATCACCCGCTTCTTGGGGAAGATGTTATATGTTCTTCCTTCCTGAAAGCGAATCCAAGCAAAGAGTCTCTTTAAAGCGGTGATCGGAGTTCCAGAATGTCCTGAAACCTTGGCTATGTAGTCTAAAGTCCCTATATCTTCGGTCAAAACCACTCATGCTGGTCAATACCGATACCATGACGCCGAAGGGGTAGGCCCTCGGAGCCTTTCCGTCTTGAACGTGCTCCTGCCTTTCCACGTTTCGGGTTGATCACCCAGGCGACCCCACCCAGCTGCCCTGCGCGGCGCGCCGGCGCGGCCTGGCGGGGAAGGCGCAGAAGGCCGAGGTGCTGCAGCTCGTCGTTGTGCGGTGGATCCCAGCCACCAGTAGCAAAGAACCAGGTTCCCTCGTTCGGTCGGGTTTAAGTCTTTGGAACCACTGGAACTTGTCGTTTAACCTGCTGTCAGATTGGGTGATGTGCATGAGTTTAATGTTACTAGAAAAAACACATTAAAAAACGACTGTTCTTTATCGTCAATCTTTTGGTCTCTATGTTTGAACGTAACATGACATAACACTTTTTTAGGCCAAGGGCAAGAAGTAAAGTCTCATTTCTTTTGAACAAGGACCATTGTGTCTATCGACTCGGGAAAAAAATCATATATTTCATTTGTTGCGACCACAAACATTAACAGCGCTGCCTCAACCAATCTTGTAACAGCTTGTGTGAATACATGTTGCAACTGCTTATCCCTAACCCAGCAAGAACGGCGAAGCGGTGGGAGATTCCGTCTTCTGCTTTCTGTGCCCTTGCTCCCATCCAGGTGTGTCGTGCAAGGCTGTGTCACTTTGAGCGGTATTGGCATCGACCGGGCGTTGAGGAGAGCCAACGGGTGCGCGTTGCGCCGACGAGGGTGTCGTTGGAGCAAGGCCAAGTCGTTTAGAATCGATTGGATTACTTTCAGGATCATGGTGTTCGATGTTTTGTTCATTACATTATATATAATATTATATAATGGTGTATATATATTGCTTTGCATAGATGGTAACAGTCACCTCTATGATCTACCTTTCTACTTTGTCAAAACTTACAGCTGAGTCAACTTCGACGATGTTGACAACAATATTGAACATATTGTATATATACAACCTCAACAACTTTTACCAACCTTTACGACCTTTAAAGTTTCCAAGACGTTTGACAACTTACAACTTTGTCAACATGAACAACGTTGCCAACATTTACAACATGGACAACTTCTAAGATGTTGATTGAGAACTGTTGCTACAACTTCTAATCTTTCACACACACACACAATCCCGGCAACTGGTATTTCTTCTACAACTTTTTACAACCTTTACGACCTGGCACGATACTGGCACTCTTGACGACCATTACAACTTCTTCAACCTTGACAATATTGACAACTTCCACCATGTTCACAACTTTTGCATAAACTACAATCTTGAACATTTACAAGCTTGACAACTTGTACGACTTCTACGACTTTGACAACTGTTTAATACTGTTCAGTTCAGGAATTTGAGCATGTTTGCAACTTTGACAAAGTTGTGGATGTTTTGAAGTATTTGTAACAATGTTGTAGAAGTCAGCCGTCAACATTGTGGAGAGTTTTTGAAGTTGAACAAATAGACAATGTTGCAAAAGCTGTCAAAGTTGCAAAACTCGCTTAAATGTTTACTCTACATGTGAGAAATTGTGGTTGTGCATAAGTTGTTCCCCACCTGTCAGGTGAGGATTGTTAGATTTTACGTCAGCCCCATCTCCTCCTCCGCCTCGTCCTCCTCCGCCTCCTCCGCCGGACCTCAACCGCGACCATCCACGCCCAGTGTTCCCTGCCGGACCTCAACCGCGAGATCCAGACCCAAGTGTTCCCTGCCGGACCTCAACCACGACCATCCGCGCCCAGTGTTCCTTGCCGGACCTCAACCACGAGCTCCAGGCCCAAGTGTTCCCTGCCGGACCTCAACAACAGCACACAACCACAACCACACTCACAAACACAATCATACCACCACAAACACAATCACAAACACACAACCACGAACACAATCACAAGCACGCAACCACAAACACAATCACAAACACACTACAAGCACAATCACAAACACGCAACCACAAACACACAACCACCAACACATCACAAACACGCAACCACAAACACAATCACAAGCACACAACCACAAACACACAACCGCAAACACACAACCACAAGCACACAACCGCAAACACACAACCACAAGCACAACCACAAACACAAACACACAACCACAAACACACAACCACAAACACACAACCACAAGCACAACCACAAACACACAACCACAAACACACACCACAGGCACAAACCACAAACACACAACCACAAAAACACAGTCACAAACACAATCACAAACACAACCACAAACACACAACCACAAAGACACAACCACAACCACAATCACAAACACACAACCACAAACACGCAACCACAAACACAACCACAAACACAACCACAAACACACAACCACAACCACAAACACATCCACAAGCACACAATCACAAAGACACAACCACAACAACCACAAACACACAATCACAAAGACACAACCACAACAACCACAAACACACAATCACAAAGACACAACCACAACCACAACCACAAACACACAATCACAAACACACAACCACAA